ATCCCTTCTTTGCCTTTTTGCTCTACTTTGTGGGAAATTTCCTCAACTTTCATTTCTGCCAACAGCTTTTTCATTCCAAGAACTCTTTTTTTTTTCCTAAATGTTTCCCCCATCCCAACACTTTTAAAAATACCTTTTTATTTTAACTTCTTGGATGCACTGATTTTCTTATCTGTCTGGGGAGAGTATTTTGTTTTGTTTTGTTTTACATTTTCTTCTCTTTGCAAATTTGTTTTCTCCAAGTGGCTTCTTGGGGAAGTTGCTTATTTTCTTCTATATCATCCATGGTAGAGGTTTTCTTCAGTTGTATTTTATCTCTGCTTGTCTGACATGGTTGTGAGTCAACTAGAGGCTCTGAGTACAAGAGAAGAACTTGCAAACTTTGGCCTTTCCAATAACGTAATCTAGGTGGCATCTTTGTAGGAGAAACTCCCAATTCATCACCTATGAATTTACTTTTTCTCTTGGGATGTTCAGATTGCCCAGGGAACAACATCCCAGAGTCCTTCAGTTTCTGCCAAGAGAGGCAAAACTCACAGGCTGCATTCCAGAAGGTGAGTGCAGGGCTGAAGGTAGGCACATTCAGCATTTAGAATTCAGAGTCACTCAGTTTTCTTTTTGGTGCACACTCAAATGTGCCTTGAGTCTTCCCCCCTCCTCCCAGAGACTAAGCCAAACTTCCCTGGTTCATGCAACCTTAGGTATCGCAGTAATTTTTTTATGGTGCTCCTAAGCCAAAAGATATACCTATACAGTTCCTTTATTAAGTATTTCCAAAGAACTTAATAAGTATTTATGTTTGAACATGTTAGTTACTGTTTGAAAAAATACACGTGAATTGAAAGAAAACCTTATTCCTTTATTCTTAAAACCACAATTACTTAATAATGGATGTGTGCATCTGTTGGGTACTACACAACATTTCTTGGAATCAGATTGGACACAGCCAGCCTCATTTCATGTTCCACATAGATTTTCATGTGGTACTGGCTTTTTATCATACACCCATCAAAAACTCAATTACACAAAGATATGATGTCACTGAAAAGAATGTGGAGTGATCTAATGTTGAACTTCTGAACTATCTCAAGCTAGTAGCTGTGTCATATCTGTCAGATGTGAAGTATAAATGTGTTTGCATCAAAAATTTCAATTTGGTGTAGCACCCAGGGGCACTTTGTCACACAGTTTGAGAACCGTAGGTTTTATATGGCCTACTTTTGTTCTACACATTTTTGTTCAATGCTCCATCCTAGCCTGGAACTTGCATGAAGTTTTTAACTATGTACAATCTACTGGGATCTCAACAAACATTCCCACCATTGCTTCCTACAACTCAGCACCTTAGTACGCTTAACTAAATGTAACTGACTTCACATTCTGATTCACAGAGTCAAAGTCCATCAAAACACAGACTCTACTATACAAGATCTAGGATGGGTTACATCAGTTAGCAGAGATCGCTTAACTAAATGTAACTGACTTCACATTCTGATTCACAGAGTCAAACTCCATCAAAACACAGACTCTACTATACAAGATCTAGGATGGGTTACATCAGTTAGCAGAGATTCATACTGAAAGTGGGAGGCATCATATTTTAATATGTATAATTCACCAACCAATAAGACAGTTTTTTGTGTTTTTAATTTTGCATGCCATTAGACAATGCTATAGGAGTAACTCGATACAGTTTGTGGTTGTTTCCAGACAGCTGAGTAAGAGTCTGAGTATTAACAGATGCCAAATGAGTCTTCTGTGCCCCTTACCCCCAGACTAGTCTTTGAAGGATTCAGTCAGTGTAAACTCAGAATGTCAAAGAAGGCCAGAGCAGGTAATATGACAAACGGATGTTGGTCTTAAGTAAGCTGACTAGCTATTAATTCACAAAACAGTCTGAAGAGATTCGTGATGCAAGCCAACTTCTGTCTAGACAGAGAGGGGAGTGTAAAATGCATTAGACAGATACAACACAGTAGTGACAAGAAAAACCTGTTTCAGTTGCACAAATGCATCAGGAGAGAACCTGCTATTTCCTTCTTTATCGAAATATCTAATCCCTAATGGAGCTATATCTGGGTGCTAGTGAATTTCAATTTTATTTCTAAAGCTTTAAAACCTCTTTCCCATGAAAAGGAGGGAGAGTGAAGAGAAGGGAAAAAAAGAGATAGAAAGAATAAAAGAGTGAGATGGAAAAAGAGAGGAAGAGAGGGAGGGAAAGACCAAGGGAGCGTGGAGAGAGAGAGAGTGAGAGTGAGAGAGAGTGAGAGCATGCATGGGTGCGAGAGCCAGCCAGCAGTCTATGTCAGAGCAAGAGAAGGCAGTAGCAAGGGAGGGTAATAAAACCTGAATGCTTAAATATTTTCCCGAATTTCAAAGCTATTATGTTTTAGCATTTGGAAAATATCACTGACCCAGTCCCATAAAATTTATCTCTTGCCTCAGATGTCTTGTAGTCATGTCTGTTTTTCTCCTTTCCACTTAACAGTGGCTAAAAACAGCTATCAGGGAAGTCAGTTGCTACATACATTCTATATGGCTGAACAGTTCAGTGGTGCAGTAGATCATTTAGGGAAAGTAAACAGTTCAATATATGTTTTTGTGTTTCCTCTGGTATAGCAACATCAGTGTTAATGTAAGGAGAACATTTGGCAACTAGTAAAAGAATCATACTTAGTTTTGTCAGGCATGCCAAAACTTTGCTTAAATACAAATATACTTTAACATTTGCTTCATCTGAATTTCTTACTCGTAACAACTCACTTAAGCAGTCACTTGAGTAGTCATTCATGTGTTTAACTTTTTTGTTTAAAAAACAGGATCACGAATTTTATTTAACACTACATGCAATTGTAGATTTCCTAAAGAGGACCATTTTAATGCTTCAGTGTAAAAGAGAAAAGAGCAATTCTAGTAGTGTCATGGTATATATAATTGTGGAGAAATTATCACAGGTTAGGAAAAACTCATTGTGTTTTGTTTTTAATAGCTCCTGGCTTTCTTTCTTTCTATCCATCTATCTATCTATCTATCTATCTATCTATCTATCTATCTATCTATCTATCTATCTATCTATCTATCTATCTATCTATCTATCTATCTATCTATCTATCTATCTATCTATCTATCTATCTATCTATCTATCTATCTATCTATCTATCTATCTATCTATCTATCTATCTATCTATCTATCTATCTATCTATCTATCTATCTATCTATCTATCTATCTATCTATCTATCTATCTATCTATCTATCTATCTATCTATCTATCTATCTATCTATCTATCTATCTATCTATCTATCTATCTATCTATCTATCTATCTATCTATCTATCTATCTATCTATCTATCTATCTATCTATCTATCTATCTATCTATCTATCTATCTATCTATCTATCTATCTATCTATCTATCTATCTATCTATCTATCTATCTATCTATCTATCTATCTATCTATCTATCTATCTATCTATCTATCTATCTATCTATCTATCTATCTATCTATCTATCTATCTATCTATCTATCTATCTATCTATCTATCTATCTATCTATCTATCTATCTATCTATCTATCTATCTATCTATCTATCTATCTATCTATCTATCTATCTATCTACCTATCTATCTTCGTATAACTTCGTATAATGTATGCTATACGAAGTTATGCATCTATCTACCTATCTAGTCTATTTAAAGCAGTAAATGCAAAAGATGTGCCTTAACTCCCTACAAGATTTCCATATTAATTAGCTCGTGCAGTCAATTTAGTCTCAGAAGTTTTATGTATCAGGGAACTAGCATTATACAATTTTATACAAGGACATATCACAGATGAAATATGAAGTTGTATATTTCTACAGTCTGTAAAGTGACTGCAGCGTTTGATGTGGTTACTGACACACTGAGTGGGGTGACATGCTCTAGTTAAAACTCATGACAAGAAGGCAATAGATCAATCTCAGTTGTTCCTTAGGGATGTTATTCAGCATCCCTTAAACTTTGGATTCTAATAGTATCATACTCTACTTTTGAAGACCCAGCACTCAGATGTGAGAGGTTCAGGGACTGACCGCAGTAATCGGACCTGCAGTAGTCCACAGAGAACATTCAAGTTCCCCAAAAAGGGTCACAGCAAGGTCACAGCTCCTAAAGCACATCTGGCAGGATCTGCTCGATCCTGAAGCAGAGGCACAAACAGCAGAAACAGAAAAATGTCTTGTTCTTCTACCCTTTGTTAAGAAATATATGAAATCGTGATTTTGTTGATGGGAAAAATACAAGAGAAAATAGTCTTGAGAAGGATGTACTATGAAATACTTAGACAAAAGTTTTTGTTTCTTTTACAAACACCATTTTAGTCCATGAGGAGTCATAAATATACAAGAAGTCTGATGCAGGGGAACAGTCGGCTGATGCTTCTGGATCACATAGCGCTCTGATGAGGTTGAATGACCTGGTAATTAAGAGAGATCCCAGGGCAAGATGACTTTCTTCATGCTTGTAGAATAGTAAAAGTTTATGGCTCAGGGCACATAAATGAAAAATGCCTGGGGACCAATTTTGCTAACATCCTTGGGCTGCTCTCATCTGAGACACATTTCTAAGCTGGGGAGTCTAGTTGTTAGTGGGTTTTGGTGAGTAAAAGTATGCAGCAGATTGTTCTTTTCTACCAGAATTTTAGGAGGATGTTTTTTCATCATTAGCTTGGTTTGCTTTCCAAGTACAAAAAAGTATATTTTAAAAAGCCTTAAGTCACTGAGCTTGACCTTCTTGTCTGAATGGAACTTAATGTTTTACTAATAAAGAAGCTGATGTAAAATGTGGTGTACAGAGCCCACGATAAAGAAGATATTGTCTTTAGGGGGGTTTCATATTTCCAGGGAACTGCAAAAACATTGTTCTGCTATGGCTTTAAAACAGAAACAAAGAACTATTGAAACCCCAAAGATACATTATCCTACGCCCCACCTCCCCAGCCAAAAAAAAAAGATTCTTACCAGGTTCAGCTGTAGATCTAGGTTCTGTTTGCCACATGAGAAAAAAATAAATAAGAACAGAGTATCAGAATGGGATTCTGTTAATAATAACCCTATCTACTCTATTACCTTGTCTACGACATGTTTGCAGAAATGTTATAGACAAACTCCGTAATATAGAAGAGATAGTTAAAGTGATATCAGATCAATTTATATTTCTATAGAAATAAAAACTTGAATTCCAGTAACACCTTATACTAGGAGGTTTTTAAAATAGCAGTTCATTCATGTGCTATAGGAGGCTTGTGAATCTCCTAATATTATTTGCCTAACTTTGAGCACAAATGTACATGTGCATTTTTTTCTGGAGAAAGAATATATAACTTTCATCAGAGTTTCAAAGGGGCCACAGTTTTAATTTATTGAACGTCACACATTGAGGGTTTTTTGGTCTCACCACTCTTTGAAAACAGAAATCAAATCATCTGAATGACTCAGCCCTTCTCAGTTTTCCTGAAGCTAGAGAGAATAAAATGGTCAGCTACAACAGAGTGGGCACTTCTTCCTTACTTTTCTGTAGAATTCTGAAATCTGGAGAGTCCTGGATTTCACTCCCTTGCCGGAACCACTGGACCTGCAGAGGGGGTGCTCCTCGGACCCGACACTCCAGAACCACCACCTGGCCCTCTGCCGCTGCTATGTTTTGCAGTTCCTGAAATTTAAGGAAAATGCCCCCATCAGACTCTGATGTGTTCTTAAACTATTTCACAACAGAGAATAAAAATTCCAGACCTTAGACAAATAAAGAAAAAAATCAAACTGCAAAACTTGCAACATAAAATAATTACCACTATTTCAGGTAGGGATGAACACCTTAAACCCAATAACTGTCAGCTTTTCATGAAATTAGTAAGGTTTACTATAAGCCCTGTAGAACTTAGTGGCCTATCTGCAAATCTGCATCGATCCCTTCACATTTATGGAATTTGACGGTGACAACTGTTGCCTCTCTATATATACATTTAAGAGTAAGCTGGTGGAACGCAAAATTCTTAAAACAATTACACTCCAAACGAATATAGATCCTTATGAAAACCAGAGAAGAAGAGAAAAAAAGACATGCATTTGTTGCACATGCTCCAGACTTTTCATGTACTCCCCCACCACCTCTGCCTGACTGATTTCCTGCGTCGGGTTTATTAAGCTAAGCGGTTTTGGTATTTTCTCATTTTTAGATTCTGAGTAATAATAAAACATGCCGTGCTCCTCCCTTAACTGACCTTCATTTCCTCCTCCCTTACTACTGCCCTTGTGGCTCCTCACCCCACTCCAACTCCAGACCAATAAATTTTTACAATCCAACAGATTAGAAATTAATTTGGCTTTTTATATGCAAAGAGGTAAAGCTTTTAAACTTGTTTTTAAATATTAGGACATAACAGTTCCCTTACAGATGCCTCTACCTTCCTCCTCTAGGATTAACTAGCAATGGAGCCTATTTAAACTTTTGACTATTTAAACTTCTGACTATAGATAACTGGATTTAAGATAGACCATGCAGAACTCTTAAAATAATTCAGACACTATAAAGTAATCTACCTATATAGAGACAAAAAGTAAACAAATTCACATTAGGGAGTGCATGTGTTTTTTTGGTGTTTTATTTTTTTTAATTATCTGAGGCAACAACAAATGATGTTCTGGGAAAAACAATTCCTTTATCAAACGGCTTACAGGAAGTGTGCTAAAGCCCTACAGAAATTCTAAAAGTCTATGATGTTGGCAGAAGAACTATAAAAGTCTAATGTGAAGTTTGAGAAGGAGTTCGTAAGAATTTTGGTAGTTGACAAGAATTGTTTTTAAGTGAATGAGTTAAGATCAACTACTTCTGATTGCATTCTTTCTCATTTTTCTACTTTTAAATGTAGAAAATCTCTGGTTTTAAATCAATTTTTTTTTTTTTACTTTGTGACTGGGTCCAGAGAAGAGCTAATTCAATGGATCACAGTGGAGTAAGTGTTGCTGATATGGTCCAGTGTCTATGGATTAATCTTTTAAACGTCTCCAGGCTTGTCCAGGAAGTCATTCGTGGTAGATTACAAATAGTACCCCCCAAATTTTTCATGCTTGAGCTCTCAGGCACCAAAGGAGACCTTGATTTATTTCTAGGATTAGGCATTTGGTTCACTGTTGGAAAATCAGAGGTGTAGGAAATGTGTAGATGCCATGGAACTTAAGCAGTCAAAACTCCATAGTTATTCCAGGGTTACAATTTGGCTCCTCCTGGAGCAAATATTTTGATCATGGCAAAAGCCATGACTAAACACAGTAAATCATTAAGAGAACCTTTTAGAACATAATGAGGAGCCCCAGAGGGGACTGACAGTCAACATTTAGAAGTTGTACCTGCAATCTGTATCATCCACTCAGTGTAGGACCAGGGGCCCCTTGGTATTTTAGGATCCATATAAGGACATCTCTTGTTAAACATCAAGACCACCTGACACTATGATTTTTTGGAGGGGTCTAACTATCTAGGAAGAAATGCCACATGGGGGAGTCACTTTCCTGGCCACACAAGCGTCCCTACTACCTACAGTACCACAGTCCACACCAGCTTTGCTGCCAGAGCTGAACCTGCCGCTCTGCTGGGTACCTGCAGGCAGGAGCACTGACTCTGCCTCTGACCAGCTGTGAAAGCTGGGAATCTTTTCCAGAGTGGCAAGAGGAGATAGATGGAGGCATGCACACTTGGACTGGCAAAGCCCACATGCCATTCACTGTCACTATCATACCCAAGAGAAAGGCCAAAGAAGGCACTAAAGCCGAGCAAGAGAAGGTTAGTTTGGGTTACAGAGGAGATCAGCAGGATTTTTTTCTAAACCTGCCCCTCCAAAACCAGAGCTTAGGCCCGAAAAGGACCCACAAAGCACAGAGAAGCTACCCAAAGGGAAAATGGGGAAAGCAGATGCCACCAAGAAACACCTGTAGGACACAGATGTTCCTCAGTTGCAGACACAGAAAATGGAAGGCTGGAGATGCCCAGTGAAGTGTGTTGTGTTCTGTGCCTCCGGTGACTCTACGGTTTAAGACTTCTTACATATCGACCTATAGAAAAGTACTGTTTTACTTTTCTTAAAAGCCATGTTGTTAGCATGGTTTTCTTTTGGAGGGGGAAAGACCGTTAATAGAATGTCTATGCCTCAGGAGCTGGACTGCAATGGAGAAACAGGGTTTTGTATCTAGTTTTGGGGGATTCCTACTGGTACCCAGAAGGAATTCTGTAACATTTACACACGTCAGGCCACTGTAGGTGAAGCCCTGTGATGAGAGAAAGTAAAATCTCACATCCTTTTTCCTCCCCTTATGCCATCAGCATGGCCTTCATTTGTTTAAATCAAGAGGTGCGTTGGGCCCTGGCACCCCCCAAATCACCTGTGTCTTGGTTGACAATACATTAGGCAACAAACACTTTCTGGTGATGCTCTTGAGAAGCTGTTTGTGAAAAGCTCTTGAACTACATGGTGAATGTGGAGTGTCCATCCCTCTGTAAACGTTTCCTGTTCTAAGCACCAAAGGAAGACTTCGTTGGCTATTACGATGACATAGTTTTTGGTAGGGTTTTACCTTTTTTTGGGGGGAGGGGTAGTCTACCTAAGAGGGGAGTTTGAAAGTTTTCAACCATTATCATCTGCTGCCTGTGCCTGATTGGAAATATAATAACTGCTTATGGCAAGATCTTTACTATTGCTTGGATTCAGGCTGGCATAGGAGAGACAAAAAAAAAAAAAAAAAAAAAAAAAAAAAAAATTTCCCTCCACGAAGGAAATAAAGATGCTTTTCTCTACTGCTTCACAAAAGTTTTATAGATTTGCTCTCACATTTGCCTTTAGTTTACTTGGAATTGATTTTTGTAAGAGGTGTGAGGCAGGAGTCCAATTTAGTATTTCTTCACCTCTGCTGAAGCATTCATTCTTTCCCCACTGATGTGCAAGTTTCTGTTGGTATTGGAGTAGCTTGTGGGCTCTGTTGTGATTACTCTTCATTTGTCTAGCCTTGTGCCCATACCATATTATCCAAATTCCTCTACATTCCAAGAGTCTTGATATTTCATAGGACAAATCTCAATCCTTCCCTAACTCCACTCTATTTTTCTTCTTCAGGGGTGCCCTGGCTATTCCCAGCTATTTTTCCTCCACACAACTTTTAGAATCAAGTTGTTAAATTCTATATCAGACAATAAATAATAAGGAATCTGTTAGAATTTTAGCTAGATTTGCATTAAATATAGACTAATCAGGGAGTCATGACTTCTTTACAGTCTTTTGGTCCTCAAGCATGGTATATCTGTATATCTCTCCATTTATTTGGGCCTTTATAAATATTTCTCAATAAAGTTTTATAATTTTCTCCCCCCTCCCTCTCCCCCAAAAAAGGAAAAAGAAGGAACAAAAATGCTACATGGAACCACTTCTAACTTGAGCAGTAGACCAATGAAATGGATATCATTATTCAGGCTGGCAATGCAAATCATCGACTTAGGACACGTAGAAAATTAATCCTTTTTTTTCTGAATTTCTATAAAACTTGCTAGATCTCCCAAGCAATTTCCTACACAGCATTCTGTCTTGTTTTTTCTACCTGTCTTGGCTTTCGCACTGGATTTTAAGCTCTATCAGGTCTCTGCCCACACCCACATCTCTCAGACACACCACAAGATTATAGTCACACAGCTTATTCAACAAATATCTATTTAGTCCCAAAGGTAACCATGATAATCAGGTTACTATCCATTTTAATTTTTAAAGACTGTCACATGAAGCCACATGTATATGGAATTTAAGGACTAAAGCAAACACAGAGAATGGGACTTCAGGATGTCAGACCTTTGTAAACACAGGAGGAAAGTAGGCAGCAGGGGTTCCATCAGGTCGGCAGAGATATGAAGTTGGACTGTGAACCTGAAAAATCAGAGACATACAGATCAAATGCTAAATATATAAACTGCTGAAAAAATGGGCTAACGAAACCTTTCATTATTGGGATCGCTCCACTTGAATGAATCGAGAGAATGAAAGTACTGCCATACATCACTGTGCTGGGCTACTCTTACAGTACGGATATTGTTCTTCTCCCTCACTCCACATCTGTTACTCTTCTCTATTCAAAAGGATATTCAAGGCAAAAGCTCCCTGGTCCTTGGGGATCCACGAGCTTTTAAATGCTATTACCACACGAGTTTTTGTGTGTGGGACTTCACAGGGGTCTTTTTAAAAGTTCTTCCAGACATTACATTTTATTTTTAAATACAGTCTGGGTTCATTGAATAAAAAGCATAAGCTATTGGCAGTGACGGGTAAAGTAAATGATCAAACATCTACCTATCTTATTTTTAATTTGTGCTCTTTTTTCCATATAAGAATTATGGGAAATGAGCAAAAAAGGAATATATTATTTTTTTCTTGATGTGTAAAAAATGCAGGTGTTGAAATACTTACTGAATGGCATTTATCTCTGGGGAAATAAAGGGATTGATAGTAGTGAATGGAAAGCATTTCTTTGTGCACACTTACTTTCGAATATCCTGGATTGATTTATTTATATAAGTGATTGTTAGCTTCTTAACCCCAGATGATGGTGATCTGATATTATGTGTCTAAATATGCCACAGGATGTCATGGAGAATGTTGCAAACTTGTACAGATACTAGTATGGTGATGGGCCTTATCCATTATCCCTGGAAGACTTTTTACTAGTTTGTGATTTAGGACATCTGGGTCTCACTTTTCAGTGTCTTTTATGTCCAAAGACTATATGAACATTTTTATGGTATATACTCTGTGCCAGGCACTAAATGCCACATGAAGATTAACTAACCGAATCTTCATAAGATAGGTGGTGAAATAGGTGGTATTATTATCTTTCTTTTACAGATGAAGAACATTATTTTCTGAAGGTCCCTTGGTTACTAAGTGGTACAGCTGGGATTCAAACCCAGTCGGGCTGGTTCCAGCGTGTTAACCTTCATGTAACATTGCCTACAATAATCAAGTGATGGTGTTTCTCTGAGCACTTCCTTCTCCCAACTAAAGAAATGGGATTTATTACCTTTCATATAGTGTTCCTGCAGAATTTAAATTATTTAAAAATGTGCTCTTTAGGGCTGGCCCGGTGGCGCACTGGATAGTGCGCCGCTTGGGAAGCGCGGCAGCGCTCCCCCCATGGGGTGCCGATCACACACACAAACCAGCTCC